TTGGGAATGATGCAACAAGTTTTTCACACCTGCATTTGGGGATCCTCTGTCATTCCTCCTTGCAGATCCTCTCCAGTTCTGTCAGGTTGGATGGTAAACATTGGTGGACAGCCATTTTCAGGTTTCTCCACAGATGCTCAATTGGGTTTAAGTCAGGGCTCTGGCTGGGCCATTCAAGAATATAAAGATATTTATATTCCCCTTGCAATGAACTGTAATAATTGTAGTGATCCCTTAACTTTGGTCTAGCGCCACCATCAGATCTAAATTTTGATTTGCTCAGTTTATGACAAAACACAACACAAACTAGAGAAATACATTTCCAGCCGTAAATGCGTGTGGATGCTGATAAGCTGAAAGATCGTCCTAAAAATGCCTGAAATCAATTGCTGAAACAGCTGAAAGATGAGAAGAAATGGCTGAAATTCTTTGTTGAAATAGTTGAAAAGAAATGGCTGAAGTTCTTTGTTGAATAATCTGAAGGATGAGATGCAGTAAAGTAGTGTAGCAGATGTAATTAATCGCTCATATATATATTTCACCGAATCCATTCTCTGCCGTCAGGTTTGTCATGCAAACTGTTTAAGATCCTCCCTTTCTTGTTTTTTGAGCTTCTATTTTGTCAAGTTTTATTTCTGTGATGTAATTTCCTGTGCGCAATGTCACTTCCTGTCAATTCGCACCGCTCTCGTCAGTCGGCTAGATGCCACGACGAGGAGAGGTGAGTGTATTTTTGAGCTCTCCATATTAATGTTCCGAATGCAAGCAAATGTTGCTGAGATGGTTAAATTCGTGTTCCTATTCATTGTTTAGTACCTGTTTAAAGATTATGGAGTTTTTTTTGTTATTTACAAATCGAGTACAGCATGTAAATAGTCCTTATGCCAGGCTACTGGGCACCCGAGCGGGTTTTTACGTGGCTCGCCATTCTATGTTTTCTTTACAGTATACACTGTGTATGTGGAGCCTGGCAAAGTGAGCTGCTGTATGTTTAATTTCCTTTTTTGCACAGAATAAAGTCCTGTGTTGGGTAATCTGATGGCAGTGGTCCTCCTTTCAAGTTGAAGACACAACGCAGTGTGCAGAAAGTTTACTGGTGCCCTGACAGACGGGCTACAGTAGGAATAGCCTTGAAGAGCTGAACATTTTGATACCTGAATGGCATTGCTAACTGAAAGTATGCTGAACCTATTAAGATGTGAAAATAGTCCAATAGGAACCCACAAAGTAGGTAAAACAAGTAGTTGTGAACATGTGTGAGGGGGGAGACAGAGAGAGGGAGAGGTGGAGGGGGAGAGAGAGGAGTTATGTTGTGGCATGCCTCAATTGTGCTGCATTTTATGGACCACCAGATGGCACTCCAAGACTGTGTCATTGAATCAGCACTTTGACCTTCCATTGACTTGTATTGCAAAAAATAAAGCTGAATCAATTAAAAAGTATAAGCGGTATAAAAAAGAAAAATACAAGCAGGGATGTCCTTGAAGAGTTGAACAGATAAATACCTCAATGGCCTGTATAGCTGAAAGTATGCTGGACTTATAAAGTGCCAAAAAAGGGTGGAAGATCCCCGAATAATAATAAAAAACTAGAGAAATGCATTTTCTGTCAAAAATGCGTGTCGATGCTATGTGCTGAAGGATTGCCCTGAAAGTGCTGAACATTTTGACACCTGAAAGGCATATCTACCTGAAAGTATGCTGAAGTACAATTTTCCTATTAATTTGAATGGGGGGAAATTTTCAAAATAAAGCTAAATATTTCAGAAGTGTGAAGTTTACAAAAATTCTGAGTTGAATTATGAAAGTCCTGGGAGACTTGAACATTTTGATACCTGAAATACCTGAAAGTATGCTTAAGTAGAATTTCCCCATTCATGTGAAAGAGGCAAACTTTTCAGAATAAAGCTAAATATTTTATAAGTGTGATGTTTTGAAAAATTGTCAATAGAAGCATGAATGTCCTTGAAGAGCTGAACATTTTGATACCAGAAATAGGTGAAGGTTTGCTGAAGTAGAATTTTCCCATTCATTTGAATCAGGGAAAACTTTCAAAATAAAGCTAAATATTTCAGAGGTAGGAAGTTTAGAAAAATTCTGAATAGAAGCATGAATGTCCTTGAGCAGCTGATAATTTTGATATCTGAAATAGCTGAATGTATGCTGAATTTGAATATTTCCATTCATTTTAATGGGGCAAAATTTTCAAAATAAAGATAAATATTTCAAAGGTATGAGATTTAGAAAAATTCTGAATAGAAGAAGCATGAATGTCCTTGAAGAGCTGAACATTTTGATACCTGAAATAGCTGAAAGTATGCTGAAGTAAAATTTTCCCATTCATTTGAATAGGGAAAATTTTAAAAATAAAGACAAATATTTCTAAAGTATGAAGTTTAGAAAACTTCTGAATAGAAGCATGAATGTCCTTGAAGAGCTGAATATTTTGATAGCTGAAAGTACGCAGAAGTAGAATTTTCCCATTCATTTGAATGGTGCAAGATTTTCAGAATAAAGCTGAATATTGCAAAGGCATGAAGTTTAGAAAAATTCTAAAGTGAAGCATGAATGTCCTTGAAGAGCTGAACATTTTGACAGCTGAAATAGCTGAAAGTGTGCTGAAGTACAATTTTGCTATTCATTTGTATGGGGCAATTTTGTATGAAGTTTTGAAAAATTCTGAAGATAAGCATGAATGTCCTTGAAAAGTTGAACATTTTGATACCTGAAATTATGCTGAAGTAGAATTTTTCCATTCATTTGAATGGGGCAAAATTGTCAGAATAAATGCTGAATATTTTTAAAACTATGAAAGTTGTAAAAAACCTTGACTATACACCATAATGTCCTGAAAATCCTGAACATTCTGATACCAGAATGGCTTTTCTAGCTGAAAGTATACTGAACTTATTAAGATGTGAACATTTTCCTATTGGTCCCCGCAAAGTAGGTAAAAGAAGTAGTGTTGTGTGTGTGTGTGTGTAGGTGTTTGTGTGTCTGTGTGTATGTGTGTGAACACTGAGAAATACTAGTGTGTCTATTGAAATGAGACATAAATTGTAAATGATAATTATGCAAAAACCATAAAAAATATCATGAAGCTGTATGAATAGCTGAAAGGTTGCTGAGTAGTTATTAGTTGAAATGGTGGCTTTAGCTGAACGTATGCTGAAGATATTAAGATGTGAAAATTTTTCCCATTCATTTGAATGGGGCAAAATCTGCTGAAAAAAGCTAAATATATTTAAAAGTATAAATGTTACAAACAATAAAAACACAAG